GCTTAATTTTCTAATTTTTAACGATACAATAGCGATGATTATTATTTTAAAAAATTTTTGTTAGGCTTAACATCGATGAAAATTCAACGCAAAGTAGGTTAATAGCGATATACTAATTACATGGGATATAATAATATACTACACTAATAATAGATTTTTTCATACTTTTCGGTTATCCGACTTTTCAATTATCCGACCAACCCCAGTCCCCAATTAGGTCAGATAATCGAGGCTCTACTGTAACTCTTGAGGAGGCAAACTTGGGAGGACAACTGACTTGATTTGTCATTGCTCTCCCTTGTTATTTGGATTCCTTCTGGGTTTTTCTATGAGGTCATGAGTCTGTTGTTAAGGGCCTGGCATCCAATACTGGAAATTTATCAAAAGTTCCAGGTGACACACTAAGGACTAGATGGATCATCCTCAACAAGGAACCAAATCCGTGGGAAATAATTTTTATGGATGTTTGGATTTTAGCCTAACTTTTGATAAAATGATTGAAGTTAGACGATTGAATTCCCAAATAATTAAAATTTAAAATAACACTTTATTGAGGGTCTGTTCATCCCNTCCGACCAACCCCAGTCCCCAATTAGGTCAGATAATCGAGGCTCTACTGTAACTCTTGAGGAGGCAAACTTGGGAGGACAACTGACTTGATTTGTCATCGCTCTCCCTTGTTATTTGGGTTCCTTCTGGGTTTTTCTATGAGATCATGAGTCTGTTGTTAAGGGCCTGGCATCCAATACTGGAAATTTATCAAAAGTTCCAGGTGACACACTAAGGACTATATGGATCATCCTCAACAAGGAACCAAATCCGTGGGAAATAATTTTTATGGATGTTTGGATTTTAGCCTAACTTTTGATAAAATGATTGAAGTTAGACGATTGAATTCCCAAATAATTAAAATTTAAAATAACACTTTATTGAGGGTCTGTTCATCCCNACAGTTTATTATTAACAAACTGCTTATTATAATCAAAATGAATTTTTTATTTAGACGATCACTTAGCATATCGTCCATTAGAAGAAGTGTATTATCTATGGCAACTTGCTGGAGGTGATGTCGAAGCTGAATTTCGTAAGCAAGGATTAATTAAAGCAAAGCCACCTATATGTTCTTTACCAAAGTAAATAATCACTATATCAACAAAATGCATAATGTATATTATTTTAAGCAAAAATGCAATATTTTTTAGATTAGTCTTAGAAGAAGGAGAAGAATTTGGTCAAAAGAAAGATAGAGGAATGCTGCTAAATGACACATTCATTATACTACGATTAGATACATTACGACAGGTAATTAGATTATTCAGAAGAAATCTAAATTTTGAAGATTATAATTTTGTATGAATATTCAAAAGATCAAAATTTTGAATATTAGTTCAATATTTAAATTAAAAAAAAATGGAATATAACTTATACATTGCTAGTGAAATTAATATTTATTGTCTTGAGTTATATGCTTTTCCATAAGAGTGTAGATTTTAAGACATCGATAAGCATAATTGTTCTATATATTTGTTATAAAGAATTCATTAATAAACAGATTTCTTAAAAATTATAAATGAAGAAATCCATATATTTTGAACTAACTGAAGAGATAGATCACAAAAAATCACACGTTTAAACTCTAGCAATGAATTTAATAAAATAAGAATATTTTAAACCAGTTTCACTGACCTTCTTCAGCTACAATAGAACAAAAAATAGAACATGAATACAAAAATTTCAAAACAAGAATTCTAAAAATAAATAAATAAAGAAATGAAATAAAAATAAAAAGTAAAAATAAATGAATAAATATCTCATAATAAAATAAAATTAAATTTCATAAATGGACCACCATGCATTAGACCAGTGTTCCGCAACCTTTTTCTACTTGCGGCACACCCATGATTCAACACGACACCAAAATATTATTTTCCTCAAAAACGTATGATATGATACTATTAATAGAATTACATAATGCCACTAACCTATTATTATTGTAATTAAACAGATACCAACACCTGTTAGCAAATTTTCTTTACATATAATTTATTAGAATACATAAAAATGGGTGGCTTGTAATAAAGAATAAACAAACATCATCTTATTTCATCAGTGCTGCGGCAGAGAATGAAATACATACAAATGATAACATAAGAAACACAACAACATACATACATAAGAACATACAGCATACATACATAAGAAACACAACAAGTGCAATAAAAATATATAAATAAAATTTGAAATTAACAGAATATGTAAAAGTTCACGTCACACCTTTCACCATGTGACGGCACATCAGTGTGCCGCGGCACACCGGTTGCGGAACACTGCATTAGACAAGTTGTCTGCATCTGTATGGTTGATGCACATGGACATTTTTATGAGCCTTATAAATCTCCAGTTTCTCTAGATATCCCATAGTGTGCATATTACATGTAGGTCTGATGATGGTTGCCTGGTCCCAGTTTACTTGTATGTCTTGATGTTGCGAGTAAGCTGCCAGTGTCATATTATTGAGATTTTTTCTAATTGCATACTTACGTTCCTTGAGTCGTTGTAAATTATGCATGGTGGCACCCACATAGACAAGTTTTGATTTGAAACATTGGTTGATTATTGGGATGGATTAAATCCCTGCTGTTGAATTACAGTTATATGGTTTCTTATCATTCCTTAGAATTACAGAATTACAGAATGCTGTTGAATTACAGAATGGTTTCTTATCATTCCTTAGAATTCTAAAAATTGTTGGGTTGTGTTGATATACTATCACAACATTATTAGCCCTGGCTGCTTGAAGAAGTCTGTTGTTTAAATATTTGAATAGTAGAAATATTGATTTAGGATACATTTTAGGATCCTTAGAATTCTAAAAATTGTTGGGTTGTGTTGATATACTATTTTAAGACCAATACTGGTATCAATATTTTTGTGGTATAAGGACATCCCTAATTATGGTATAATTAGATTATATTTATCATATATAACTCAAGTCTATTTGATTGCAAAAATATACATTTTGAATTTTCAGATGGACTAAAGCAATATGAAAACAAAATTATAAGAAAATTAATAATCAAATAATATTTAAACTTCAAACTTTCGTATATAAATCATATCTTCATCTAAGAAACAAATGAAAATTTATATAGATTTAATTAAATCTATATAAATTTATACAGCAAAGAAATAAACTAAGATCCAGACAAAAAAAAAGTATGAAAATTTATATAGATTTAATTAAATCTATATAAATTTTCATACATTTTTTTTTCAGTACAGTTTATTTCTTTGCTGTTTATAGAGGTATGTTCCATGATCTAGGTTAATGGTTCCCAAACTGCAGCCCCTGGGCAAAATCTGACCTATGGCACACATTAATCCAACTTACAAACATATTTGACACATCACTTATAAATGAAAGAAATAGGCCTACTTTTGGTATATATAGAATATACAAAGTGTTTGTGGCCTGTCTACTTACAACTTATGTCAAATTTGGCCCATCTATTGAAAAGTTTGGGTATCACTGCTGTAGGTTATTAATAAAATTAATCACTTAGTTATTTCACAAATATTACTTTATTTTTATAAGTTGTTATTAAATAAAATTTTAAGCTGTTTAATTAAGTAAATATAGAATAGATAATGTTTAAATTTTCTGAGCTACATATAGGGTTTGAAAAATTAAAATGTATTTTAACATAATTTCCTTATTAAATTTACATATAATTTGTATATAATACCATTATGGAATTATGTTTTATGATTTAAAAATTATAAATAACCTAATATCTATTCATAAAAATTAATAAATAATGAATTAATTAATTTTTTTATTGACTTATGATCCCAAACAAGGAACCCNCCTCAAAAACGTATGATATGATACTATTAATAGAATTACATAATGCCACTAACCTATTATTATTGTTATTAAACAGACACCAACACCTGTGAGCAAATTTTCTTTACATATAATTTATTAGAATACATAAAAATGGGTGGCTTGTAATAAAGAATAAACAAACATCATCTTATTTCATCAGTGCTGCGGCAGAGAATGAAATACATACAAATGATAACATAAGAAACACAACAACATACATACATAAGAACATACAGCATACATACATAAGAAACACAACAAGTGTAATAAAAATATATAAATAAAATTTGAAATTAACAGAATATGTAAAAGTTCACGTCACACCTTTCACCATGTGACGGCACATCAGTGTGCCGCGGCACACCGGTTGCGGAACACTGCATTAGACAAGTTGTCTGCATCTGTATGGTTGATGCACATGGACATTTTTATGAGCCTTATAAATCTCCAGTTTCTCTAGATATCCCATAGTGTGCATATTACATGTAGGTCTGATGATGGTTGCCTGGTCCCAGTTTACTTGTATGTCTTGATGTTGCGAGTAAGCTGCCAGTGTCATATTATTGAGATTTTTTCTAATTGCATACTTACGTTCCTTGAGTCGTTGTAAATTATGCATGGTGGCACCCACATAGACAAGTTTTGATTTGAAACATTGGTTGATTATTGGGATGGATTAAATCCCTGCTGTTGAATTACAGTTATATGGTTTCTTATCATTCCTTAGAATTACAGAATTACAGAATGCTGTTGAATTACAGAATGGTTTCTTATCATTCCTTAGAATTCTAAAAATTGTTGGGTTGTGTTGATATACTATCACAACATTATTAGCCCTGGCTGCTTGAAGAAGTCTGTTGTTTAAATATTTGAATAGTAGAAATATTGATTTAGGATACATTTTTAAGTAATAATTTGAAGTTTATGTAATATTTCTGAATAATCTGTAATATTAAATTATTTTTATAATTGTAATATTAAATTGTTTTTATTGAGGAAAAAGGAGTTAACCAAAATGCAAATTAAATAATTCAATTTATATGAAGATATATCATCTGATTTTTGAAACATTGAGATTTGGTATAGAAAATAGGTTGTTTAGCAAACTTTAATATTTAAGAATAATATACAAGAAGTGAATCAAATTGCATCACAATTAAAAAACGAAATTCAGTGCATTTATTTAATGTAAATTAATTAGAAATTTATACCAAAAATTAGTAGTTGATGTAAAAATACACATTAAATGTAAACTTAATGGAAATCATAAATTAAAATGTAAGATATTTGTCATTTTACTGCGTATTTTGAGAGTACAGTAGCAATGAATAGTACACGAAATTATATCTTTTCCTAGACGATTTTTATTATAGTTCTTATCTAAACTTGTATTAAAAATTAGACTCCTTTACTAGAATAGTGGTTTTTTTTGTGTATGTTAATGTAAAAGAATGGAGCCAGAAATGGAAAAGGACAAACTTTTATTATAATGGTTGTAGAAACAAAATGATACTAAATGGGAATTATAAATGTGAATAACTTATATTCTCTATTGTCTATGGTCTCATGGTTTCAGCTAAATAAAAATAAATTGTCTTATGGTGTCAGCTTTACTTGATAGAGAAATAGAATTATCTTTAGAAGAAAAAAAATTTTTCTTTAGTTATAACAGTAAAATGATTAAAATAAAATAACTTACTGGAATGTAATTAAAATAAAATAATCAAACCACCTTACTATTTCCAGCAACGTATTTAATAAATTAAAAACGTTTTCGACTATATTTAATAGTCTTCATCAGTTACGAACTTTAAAACGGAAAACGAACGTAAAATAGAATGTAAGCTATACAACGGTTTAAAAATTAAAATTAATTACGTAAAACGTAAATAAAACATAAAATAAATAAAATATTAAGAAATTAATCGTGGTAACGAATGAAATTAAATTAAAAAATAAAAATTAATCGTCATGGTAAAAAGATTTCCATGCGCAGGATAGACTTTCTGCGTCTCTATGGTTGNTTTTTTTTAAGATATTTCAAATTTTATTTGATTTTTTTAAACTTTCAAAATATTCTATGCTGGAATGATTTAAAAATATTAAGATACTTAAAAATCTATCACTATAAGATTTTGTACTGAAAATCTTAGAACTATTAATACTAAGAAAAGTACTTGAGCTATTAAAAATTGTTTAATTTATTTTTATTTTTTTATCATCTACAAGATGCAATACTATAAGGGTTTATATTTATTTAAAGATATTTTAGATAAACATCAAATTAATTAGTCACAATTCAATTACTCAGACATCTTACAGAGAACAAGGTCTTTTTCTAGCTAAAACCTGTAGTGAGTTTATAGGTTTTCATATATATGTAGATGCTTTATTACAAATACTATATTGATTATGTATTTATTTACATCTCATTATTGTATTTGAATTATAGCATATTTATTCTGTATTTTGATAGGTTAGAATTGTTTAATACAATTACCTGATAGCAAGGAATAAAAAATTGTGAAGATAAATAATTTTTAATATCAATATTATTTTGAATAATAACTAAATATAATTATATATACCTACATGTCTGTTAATTATGTTAAAATATATTTCATGCTTCATGTTAAGAAACTTTTCTAGTTAATTTTTAATTATTATCAACTGCTTCCTTCACAATGGCAGATAAGTTATGATTATATTCTAGAAAATGCTAATGTTCTGGATTTTTTTCTGTAGAAACAAAATAGTTGAAAACTAATTACCTTATTACTTTGAATTTAAAAACTTTTTATTCCAATTTTTAAGACATAAAATTAGGGTGCAACTTAAATTCACAGCAAATATTTTAACTTCTTATTTCTGCCAATTTCCCACTCCCCAACAATTGGGCCTTTGTTTTACACTCTATGTATGCACATAGTATTACGATTGTTGATAGCAGTTTATTTGGTGGTTACATGTTTGCACTTTTTTGATTTAATCCAGTTGCTGTTTGATAGCAGCTGTATAGAATTGAATTTTAAATTTTTTTATTACTCATTCTCACTAATAATGGAAAAATGGTTTACATATGATGCTGAATTCAAAAGAAAAGTTATATTGTGCACCAAAGAAATTGGAAATCATGCAGCTGGTAAAAGATTTACACTGATGAAAAGAATGTGAATCATTGGAGAGCTATGAAGGAAAAATTATTTAAGCATAAAAAAGACAGAAAATTATTCTCGGGACCTAAAAAAGAAAGATATCCTGCAATTGATGCAAATCATATATATAAAATCATTTTTATTTTTTATTTTTTCCAATTTTGAATTCCTACTTTGGCTTAAATTTGAGGGTGGCTTATATTTGAAGTAATATGGTATCTTAAATTTTAGTATTATTTTTATTTAATATATATATATATATAATTGTAATATTCATAATTTATTTTGAAATATTTTTAGAGATTGAAGGATATAGATCCAGGTATATATTATCCGTTAATTATGGAAAATGGGTATGTTAATTTTTAAGTTACTTAAGAATGATGATATATAAATACTACCTATTACAATTTTTAATATTTATTATATATTTGTGTAGGCCTCAAACATTAACAAATACTAATAGCAGTACTGAATTTAAAGATACAGTCAGTCTTCCATTAGTAATAAGAGAAAAAGATATTGAATATCAGGTGAGAATAATTAATAAATAATTTTAAAATTATTTTAGAATACAGATATACAATATATAATATTTTAATGTTTTATAGTTGCATCGAATTATTCTGTATTCTCGTTTGCTAGAAGCATATCCATATAAACGTTCTCAGATAATTAGGGAAGCCAGAACAGATATTCCTCCACTTTATCGTGCTCATATTTGGGCAGCTCTACTTGAAATTGAAGTATGTTTAATATATTTAATGTAATATTTAAATTCATAATTTAAAATGATATACAAATTTTAATAAAAATATTTTATCTTACATAATATTTATCTATTATGTTTCTAATTTTATACTGTAGGGAGATGTTCAAGGAGATTATGATGCTATTGATAAAGAAACTCCAACAGCTACAGACAGACAGGTTAATTTCAAAAGTAAAATTGTTTACATATGTATTTATTTAGAAATCTTAAAATCTCTTATTTATCAATACAGATTGAAGTAGATATTCCTCGATGTCATCAGTATAATGAATTATTGTCATCACCAACTGGGCATTCAAAATTCAAAAGGATTCTAAAGGCTTGGGTAGTTAGCCATCCTCAATATGTTTATTGGCAAGGATTAGATTCTCTATGTGCACCATTCTTGTATTTAAATTTTAATAATGAAGGTATAAAATAAAATATTAATGTAAAAATAATATATAAAATTTAGATTTTATAAAAATTTTTCAGTTTACTTTTAGCTTTAGCATATGCTTGTCTATCAGCTTTCATTCCTAAGTATTTAAACAATTTTTTTCTGAAAGACAATTCCCCTGTGATACAAGGTTAAAATTTTTATTATTTTAACATTTTGAATTAATATTTGCTAAATTATATTAATAATGTGTTTAATATTTTACATTTACAGAATATTTAACTGTGTTTTCTCATCTTATTGCATTCCATGATCCAGAACTTACTAATCATATGAACAGTATTGGATTCATTCCAGAGGTATAAAATTTAAAAATAAACTTAACAATGTTTTTAAATTTTAAAACATATAATTATTACTACAGAAATTAAAGTTTTCAGACATTTAACAAAGTAGCTAGGAAACTCAAATTATAGTGTAAAAAATTAAATTCAGATGAAAATGAATTTCAAGATATTTTTAAAATTAATATTAAATACTGTATTTATAAAAAAATTGTATTTACTTCCACAATAAGGATATTTCTAAACTTTCTCATGTATTTTAGTTATTTAAAAATACAGATATGCATGGTTTAACAATGTAGCCAAACAACTTTGTTGTTAAATGAAAATCAGTGTGTACTTAAATAAACCTTATATGGTATAATCTACTACTGATAAAGCTATAAGTGATAAGTATTTATGTATCTAAACAGAAAATAATGCAGTATAAAAGGTAGAAAGTTTAAAAATATAAAAAGTTGTTGGGCTGCAATTTGAAAAACTTTTGTCCATCTTTCCTTAATCTCAAGAATGAAATTAGATAGATGAAATCTGAGAGCAGATATGGAAACCTTAGGGGCAGGAGGCCCCAGTTAACTATATATGAACTTCTGATGTAAACTGGAAGTCATGTTATTTCAATTCAAAACTTTTCTCCTGAAAGCAGTTAATAAATGACTGGCATGACTGTTGTTAAAGGGAAAGTATGACATACAAGGGCAAGACACTACAGTACTAATTTGAAGTGGAGAGAATATATTTTAAATTAAATAAATTAAAATATGATTAAAAATTGCAGCCCAGCATCGTGACAATATCACAATAAATAATTGCTCATTACATTTTAACTTTTCTGTTAGAAACTAAGATATAAATACATATTCATAATTCATTTACACAATAATATATTTGTTTTTCATAAATTTTCCGAAAATACTTAATTTCATAAACTTTTTGACACAATGTACTTTTACATGACTTGTTGCATTGGAGATTTGTTTACATATTTAATACATTGTGCAATGCCATCCCTTTTACATGGCATTAAGGCAGCTATGAATTTTTCAGCTCTATTATGGACCTTTTATGGGACCTCTGTATATGTTGTCTGTCATTAAACAGAGCATAATTAATGATGATAGGTAGTATATATACATTACATCTTTAATGTTAATAATATATATAGTTTTACTGACACACTATGAGAAACTTAAGCATAAAGAAGTTGAAAAGTACTGTTGTCCAAATCTCTGAAATGAACATATCATTAGCAAGAATTAATCTTCTACAATAGATACTGTATATGCTAGAACATTTTATTTTGAAATGTTTTTGAACATAGGCTATATTAGATTTTCAATATCTAATGAGTTGTATTTTTAATTTTAGCTTTATGCCATTCCATGGTTTCTTACAATGTACACACGTAAGTATGCATTAATCTAGCTTCTTACTATATTATAATATAAAAATTCTTTCTCATGTATTATTTACAATAGATGTATTTCCACTTCACAAAATATTTCATTTATGGGATACATTGCTCTTGGGAAGTGCTTCATTTCCTCTCTTTATTGGTGTTGCCATTCTTCAACAACTGAGAGCGAATTTGCTTTCTTTTGGTTTTAATGAGTGCATTCTGATGTTTTCTGATATGCCTGGTAAGTTTCTCATATAATTGTATGTTTCATTTGAACAATTAAATTAGTTGTTAAACTTGATTTTAATCAGAAAACAATTCACTTTCTCTTATGTTGAATTAATTTTCTCTTATTCTGTTATTAATTTATTATTGTAAAAATATAATTTTTTTACAATAAAATAAATTTAACTTCATAATTATCTTTTAATAATTATTTTTTTTTAGAAATTGATATTCAGCATTGTGTACAAGATTCCATCAGAATGTATTGTAGTACACCAAAAAGCATTACATACAGAGAATATGAAAAGCTAACCAATAAACAGAAATGGAAGAAAACTCAGGAAGAAACATCATTACATCCAGAATTGGTAAGTTTAATTTAAATCAATAAATATTTTAATTTGCATTAATAATAATTAAAAATATTTTTAAGGAAATGTGTCCGGTTCCATTAAATGTATTGAAAGCAGAATTATGTCCAAGGATTTCTGCTGAAGATCTTTTAGATTTATTAGACTTTCATTTAAAAGATGATATAAGACCACGTTCAAAAGTTAAAGTTAAATTACTTTTAATTGATGTGCGAATTCCTGAAGAGTATCCTTTTAATATTTTGAGGTTTTTATAAGATTACATGTTTGTGTATATACATACAATAATACAGATACATAATATATACATAATAATAGTCATTCCATGTTTGTGTATATACATACAATAATACAGATACATAACATATACATAATAATAGTCATTCCTATGAACTTAAGTGTTAAAAAACATTATTTATTAACTAGAAATTCTCCTGTCAAGCATGATGGAATATTTTTTATGAGAAAGTAGAGATTGAAGAATTGAGAAGAGCTTCAAGTCAAGCTTGATTTTCTACAGCCCTTGACAAAACCATTCTTACTCAATGTTGTTCAAGTTGGACTTCACAACCTTCAGGGATCTCAGTTGTTGTTATTCTTTTACATCTAGAATTTAAATGACCGATTTTACTCTTATGCTTTTCCCTTGGCATTTTTTTATCAACAAAATAGCTAATCCTTTTAATTTCACATAGATAAAACAAAGATGAATTGTACCTACATTAATTAGATGAGTGATAACTTAATAATGGGCTCGCTAGATTGTTACTTCCAATTGGATAATAGAACATCATGTGGTCACTATGGAAAGATTTAAATAAAAAATTTATTATAGAAGTGACATGATGCAGCTATCTTTTTTTAAGTTTAAATTTTAAATTTAAACTTAAGTTTAAAATACACCATTTGGCAAAATACAAGGGCTGTTTCTTTTTCAACATTCGATGGTCCATAAAACAAAGACAAATGTAAATAACAAAATAAATTTATTACCAAAAGTTATGTACAAACATGACAAATGCCTCAATCTTCACAGTGATTATGTAAAAAAGTAACCATGTTTGTATCTAACTTTTGGTAATAAATTTGTTTTGTTATTTACATTTGTCTTTGTTTTGTGGACCATTGAAAATTGAAAAAGAAACAGCCCTCGTATTTAAAAATGCAACTTAAGGGAAATTCTATCATCAAGCATAAACTAAATGAGGTCACTGCAATGTAAGTGCGATCACTGATCTGAAATCAATAAAACATTTATTCTATAGCTAATATTTCTGCAAAATAAGTAGCTTATACTTTTCAACAGAACATAAAACGAATGTAACTGAAATTTCATCTGGATTGGACAAAAATTGCAGGAGTTATAAAGAATTCACACACACACACACACACACACTGGCTTTTATATTGTTAATGATGTATTTTGAAACATACAAAACTTAAAATACAAAAAATTCAGGATAAAATTATCAAAGGTTACCACTTTATGTATTCTGAATCAACAATTTCAAATATTGACTACATGAATTAAAATGTTGTTACAAAAGTTACATGTAAGTTGTTATAATAATACAGTTTGGTTTAGTTATGCAGTTACTTTTCTTAATCAAAGAATAGTTTTGTGCGGGGTTCTATCCCAGAAAGCATTAATATTCCACATCATTCTGCTTTTGCCCCAGATGGAAGTTTATTGCAGATTCCTGAAGCTACAATTCTCACCAACCATAAAGGCAAACTGATTATTGTTGTTGGTAGCAGTTTGGGAAATTCTGTATCAAATGTAAGTATATAAAACTTAAACTTTCTATTTATATATATATATAACTAAAGTTAATTATCTATTTATTATTACAGTTTGCTAATCAACTAGTCAGATTAAGCTATCCTAGAGTGTGTATTCTTCATGGAGGTATAAATGTTCTGAGAACTACAGGTATTTTGACAGTGAGAACAGGAGAAATATAGAATTGTGCAGAATGTAAACAAAACAATATTTTTCTGCAATTTTATACCAAAGTGAAAATTTCTTTCATAAGGATATATTTTTATTGTCGCATATTCATATGTAACAATTTGATTTATTTAATAATTGTTGAAGTTTCTATCATGTTATTTTTCTAAACAAATTGAAAGATTGTTTTGTGAACAGAATGATCAATTTTACTACATTACATTTTATACAGAGAAATCATTTCATATCAAAGTCATTTCAGATCTACTCAATTTTTTTTTATTAACTACAATAATTCTGTTTTGCATTATATTTATTTTTGTAATTTTGATTATATGGTGTTTGTAAATTATTGACTAAAAAAAATCATCATTTTTATGCTACAAATTCCCATTATAAATTGTAAAAAAATATATGTAAAAAATGTGAATTGATATAAACTTAAGATCAACAACTATTAATTTCTTGTATGGATATATCATATCAATACTTAGAATATAAATTTTAAATTGGAGTTTTTTCAGAATATAAAAGTTACAATTCAACTGTATGATGGTGTAAAACTTACATTGTCAATATTTCAAAGTGGGTCAAAAGTCTCCATATGTAAGCAAAGGGGATTACAGTACTTTGTAACTTATGAATGACTACATTATAAAATATGCTCTGTACAGATGCCATTTAATTGAATGCACATACTATATGTCAGTAGATATATCCTTCCTGTGCATGGAAAATGTATGCTAACATATCTTCTGATGTCATACACACACACAAATCATAAATACATTCCTTGCATGATCAGTGTTTTACAGTTTCACTTGTACACTATGGCCTTCAAATGTCCCCAAGAATAACAAATTATGGCACCCAATCTAGTCACCTGGAAACTGCTTACCTAGCCTTATATGGAAACTTTTGACTCAATCAATCCTTCAGAACAAAACTTGTATATTTTTACAAGTTTGTATTTGTGTATTTAAAATTATAAAAGTAGAAAAACATGAAAAAAATGAATTGATTCAATAGAAAGTACAAATGGAACAGTTTTTAATGTGATATACAATATGTCATCTATAAAATCAATTTAATCATCGGTAATGTCTTAATTTCTACTATATTTTGTAAAGACATTTTTAATCTCAATAAAAATTACAAACAGAACCTCAAATTTGAATAGAGATTTAAAGAGAATTACAGTATTTTGTGTACTATTGCATGGAAAGAGTTTATTGTAAACTATCTATAATTATGCTTGTTAGTAATGATTATTGCAGAGACTGTAGATAGAAATATTAATTGAGGAAATCACATTTTGTCACAATGATCTTGCTATACATTGCATTAGGAAATAATTCACAACAGTGCCGTAACTAGGCAGGTGCAACAGGTGCACCCGCACAGGGCCCACTTGGAAGGGGGGCCCAAAATGCATGCATTTGTTTTATTATTTTTCCAAACCTAATTAATTAAGGGGCCTAAATGCAAATTCTTGCACAGGGCACAGGAATGGCTAGTTACGGCACTGATTCACAATGATAAATATGTCAGAAAAATATAAAAATCAACACAACAAACACCTAAAATACCAGCGAGAATATTACATACGAAGTGCGAACATAAGAAAAATTGCTGCAACATCTTCAACAGATCTTACAATACTGGTTCAAGGGATTGTGAATGCTCTGAATCAAACTAATTATACTAATTATTATATGCTTGTTTGTAATAATAAGTATTATTTCATTCAATTTTTGGTGCCCTGGCCTAATGCTTGCTTTGGCTTATGTCTATAACCATCACTGAAATCTTATATAATTCAAATTACCAGATATTTCTTTAATATATTTGAAATAGAATGTGGTTCCTGAAATTTCAAGAAATCAAACTTAAAATTTAAATGGAATTCTTAGGAAATTTTATTTTATTAAATGCCATAATATAGAACTGAAATAGAATAAATGATTAAATCATACATATTTGATAAACTGACACTTTTTTGTTTTTAATTTTTGACTCTCTCCATCCCGTGCACACTAAGAGGGTCCCTTTTTTCCCCATATCTCTTGTAGTTCAGCCAAGCCCAGAATGGGGTGAGGGGTAGTAGGGGATATGGAGCTTGACATTTCTGAGAGAACTCAATTTCTGGTCTTCTTGCTTGGATTTGATCACGAATCTCCAAAGCAATAGGCTGGCATTTACCACTCTAATCAAAATGAGTTCCCTTTTCACAGGACACTGAAGGAATGAATGAATAAGTTGTGGTGACCAACAGGAATAATTGATTTTTATAATTTTTCAGAACTGAGTTAATTTACTAATACATAAATCAAGCAAAAACCAACAAACATTCTACTTCTGATTATTGTATTAATCTGCACCAACTTTACTTCCCTTATCTGCAAAGAGGTCATTCAGATGAGATGTGTGCTGGTTACATACTTCACTGTATACTTGAATGGTATGCATACCTAACTATATTTGAATGGTATGCACATAATTTATTGTAAAAGTATACCTGACCTCCATATAACCACCAGATTGTATAAGTACACTTGATCACTACCAGTTTGAATCATGTCGACAAACAAATCTAAAGCAATTAAAGTGAGAGTATCGTCGTTAACTTTTTGTTAACCAATCTAAAGAAAAAATACACACTAGCCTCTACACCTCTAATTGCATTGTTTATATTATTTTTCCTTTAAAATTAAAGGAATTGAAAATATATAATTATGATTTGCATAATTACGAATAGATGAAGAAACAACTCTGAAATTTACGAACATACTCTGGTTATACCATAGAGTAGGTTCGTAAATTTTTTCCACACCCGACTCAAAAATATAGAATGCGGCCTTTCCTGATTTTCTTTTCTGAAATTTGTTTCTTAATCTATTTATCTTTTTCGCTACTTTCTTGATCATTACTTGGGTCTATTTCTTTTAATTTTTTCATTAATCTATTGTATGCAACAGCTCTTTTTTCCTTGTTATATATTGATTTGATACGCCAAAGACTATCGCTCTGGAGATCCAGGATAAAATCCAGACTAATCAAAAAACCTCAGGAATTTTTCGGGGTTAATCCATTCGGATATGTCGGGCCCCGGTCCGCCAACATCCGGCTGCCCCCATGTGGGCTTGGCCGAACTCAATGGGCTTGCTAAAAAGGTCCTCTTAGTGGCTCGGCGAAATTTTAAAAATGCCTAGGAATGGACGAAATGGTAATTGTTCAGGAATTTCCGTTTTGGAAGACATTTCATATAATTTTCTCATACAGTAAAAGCCTACATATAATCCAAAAGACGAAAAACATCTGAAATCTGCGAACGTTTTCATGGACAAATTGTGCCGATTGATTTTATCTGAAATATGTTTTATTGGTTTCAGAGTAAACTGAATTATTATTGAAACAAGTAGTTAGTCACCAGTATAACTTTTTTCTCCCAAAAATTAAATTATTTTACATGCAATACATCAAAATTTAGAGTAAATAATATCCGAATAAAGAAAAAACATTATTAATATTCGATAGAAATAAGCATTGTTTCTCGATGCAATAGTAACAAACTGTATTGTTAATCATTTTACCGTAATAATTTAAAAAATTAGACCGTGTTGAGAAACTTTGTGGAATTTTGTGAAATGCCGTAATAAAACATCGAAATTTATTGCATTGACTGACAAAAGTTATATACAGCAGATACTGTATATAATAAATGTGAAGTATTAATTCACTACACTTTATATTACACATTCACTGCACATATTTACTTGATTTAATTAATAATAATTAATACATGCGCATGCATTTATTTATATATCTATAGAATGTATCCAGTAAATGCCATATTCTATAGATAAATTCATCAGAACAGACATTATTATTATTTTCAACAAATATCATTTATTAGTAAATACCTTGTAGATTCCTATAAATATATTTTTAAGTTATAATAGCTGCAATTCAATGCTTTCTCTTAATCGTGTCTGTTACAGGTGCGATCATTCCCTTCTCAACCATTTTCCACATTTCTCTTTCATTAAAGCGGACAAATCTAGTTCTTCATGGCCAAGTTTTGAATTCAACATTCCCGAGGCCAAGTTTTGGTACCCGACGTTCGAACGGTTATGAAGGACGTTTGTGGGCTGAACTATAAAACTAGGCCTGTTAAGCCGTGCGCCAACAAAACATTCGAGGATCTAGCTGCCAAAATATAGACTGATAGATTCTGTTAAGCTCAGTGAAAAAAGTTCGAAATTTTCTCGCACAGATGAGATACGGACGCTTCGATCAACCAGAAAGTTTTGAAATTTGACCGATTACAAGACTTTTTGAGGCCATAGAACATGGTCAACACCCATCTCATAAGGTCAATATTAAGTACTTAGAATCAAAAGTCAATGGTTTAATCACTAAAATAGCCTTACTTTATAACTATCTCCTTCTCAAATTACTGGAGTAATCAAATAAAAACAAAACCTTTAAATACTAGTAACAGTACTTTAACGAAACTTCCGAACGCTTTTGGCCTCCTTTTTTAATTAACGAAGCAAAGGCTTACGTTGTGAGATATTCGAAATTTTAAAAATTGATTTTTCGATATATTATCGTTCTAACATTTCATTTTGGAATTCTGTTTCGTTAAAAACCCTGAGGCAGGCCTTTGTGAAGGCCGAAAACGTTCGGAAGTTTCGTTAAAGTACTGTTACTGGTATTTAAAGGTTTTGTTATTACTATTAGCTTATTTTAATAACAAACACAAAGAACTCCATCGTTTATGTTAAAAATTTACTCGGTTTAAAAAAAAGTTGTTTTGTGGTCATCCGGGATTAAGAGCCCTGGAGCTTAAGCTTCATTGTTTCATAGTAGATCCGTCCCCGCAATCTGCTTTCGGATGAAACAGCTCCTGTCCATGTAAAACAGGACTGTCCATTAATTGCGTGTACCAGTGGCGTGCCGTGACATTTGATGATAGGGAAGCTGTGTTTCTATAAGAAGCCGACATCCAGGGGCAATCAGTTAATTCTTTGTTTAAATGTATTTTTAATAAATTATTTATCTGGCGTACTTAATAAATAAACAAGTTCAATATAATTACCTCTGATATTAGATCCAATATATTCCCTATGCCCTCTAAATGCTAATTCTTGCTTTGATAAAAACATATATCTAAATAAATAGATGTTATATCTATTAACCGTAACTATCTCGTTATAATTTTCAATATTTATTTTATATTATTTACTAATGTTAAATTCTATTCCGCTTCGATTTCCAAATTGCTTCAAATACGAAAGAATCGACGATTTTTCGTGTTTTTTGCCAGCTAAATTGTCAAAGACATTCTTATTCCACACACTAATTTCATTCGAAAATAGTAGGCAAGCCAACAAAACAATTTTTGCATTTTTATGCATTTACGGAGCCATTTTATCGCGAAAATGTCGAACAAATTTTTTTATTATTGAATTGTTTACATTTAACTTAGGCATTGGCCTTTCTCTTTTAATAATGTTTTCTTTTTCATTATACGATCTCGAGCCAAAACTTTTTAAAAATAAATTTTCAATATCGCAATTACATTCCGAATCGCTAGCCACGATTTAAGAACTAAAATTTAAAATAAAATTATAAAAACTTACTCGGTGAAATAAAATGTGTGGTAAATATACATACCCAGTATAAAACCTTCTTCAATTGTACGAATATACTTTCAAAGAAAATTATGATTAAATATAACTTTGTAATAAAACGAACATAAAAATAACATAAAATATTCTTTACTCTTTAAATCTTAATCACTTAGTCAAATAGCTCCCTACGAGTGGAATCAGAGACGGTCCTGCTAGCTGTGCGATGTGTACTGTACATGCACGCGGGCTGCCAAATCCCGAGGGTGCCCATACCGGTCAATTTCAAATGCCCCTTTTGTCGCATCACTAATATACCTCAAAAGACGCGACAGGATTCTTGTAAATTTTAAACGTTTCTCACCATAGCTGTAAAAGTCCAAATATATTAAACTATATAGATTGTCCATCGTTTGTTTTCTAACTAATTCGTTTTAGGAGCAGGTGTTGTCCACGGAAATTTCCAAAATTTACAACTTTTCGGTCACTCTCGTTGAACTGGAAAAATGTCTGTCTTTATTACATCTATTATTTCGAAGAAATCAGTCCCACTGTACTCGGCCTCTCTCTCCAGATTGGTTCGGTTAGGCTTTTGTTTAAGTAAAATTCGGCTCTTTCATCAGGGTTTTGTTTACATCTCCAATTCTTTAATCGCTTAATTATTTAACTACTTCTTAAGTAGAAATAAGTCGAAACCGGTTACTTTGTACTCGAATATTTGTAGTCTCGGGTAAAAGTGGAAAGACAAATTTTTATGACAAACGGATACATAAATCGTAAATTTAAGGAAAATAAATTCTAGAGCTTTTTCTGTACCTCGTGCA